ATTCGGTATTCGAATACAGAGTTTGAGCGAATAATTGTCGTCTACAGTACTTGCGATAATTGAACTACCATACTGACTCCCGAGCTTTGTTCTAAGAAGTTCTTTATCTCACTTGGGGTCTTTAGCCGCAGGTCGAAAAGCCCACAGACTAATGCGAAATGGAACGCGTATCAAAAAGAACAGTATTTTATCAACTCTAACAATGAAAGCGTTCCTAGCCGACTTCACGGAGCAATTAAAACGACAGTTGTCTTCAAAGAATTAGTTTAAAGGAATCTCTAGAATAAGTAAAAACCGACCGCTTTTGATATTCTAACGAATTCAAACCCAACCTAACGATCAAACACTATTTGGTCGGAACCATGGGCGCTTTCCATTCAACCCAAAATTTCGGTTGGGGCGTCAAGTGGAACGGACCATTTCGGTTTGGTCCGACCGAAATATTCGGGACCAGCTTAGTGAAGGTGGTCCACTTTGACCGGTCTAGTCATTTCGGTCGGTCGGACCGAAATGTCCCTTTCCATTTGACAGTACCGCTCTTTTGTATCCTGCTTACAAGGACAAAAACCAAACGCGCGGTGGCTTGGGTCGCTGTGCAATCGGAATGTCCCGTTCCATTGCGCACGCGAAATTTCCGAAATTTCAAACCGGAATTGCCCGGGGTGGGGGGTACTTGGGATAGCTTTTGCTGGGTATGTGTCGCTGGCCTCATTGAGCCCCTACCCATTATAGTCTATTTTGTGGCCAATTATAGACCCCATCTTAGTCACGTTTGGGCAAATATGTAATTTTCGCAATCCCAACTTAGTCAATTTCTATTTTTATGAATTGGCCAGGAGCCCCCTGAATTGGCCCATTTTTTGACTGGATGAAGAATACTCTTTTCATCTACAGTAAAAACATTCTGTTACGTTTGCTAACCGTAAATATGAAGAACTGTCTTAACCCAAAAAAGCCGAAATGTGCGACCCCATTCTAGTAACTCTATTGAAAATGCGACCCCATTCGGCGGCACATCCCCATTAGCCTCTTATAAGGAAATACCGCCCCCTCCCCCACCCCGCTCGGGCGGAATTGTTGTTGAATGGAAATTGAAAAAAGAAATCTATTACCGGGTAAACGTTTTCGGCATTATCAGTCATGGCGTATCAAAAAAATTGTTAAGTCTCTTGGCGACGTTAAAAAGAAGGTTGGAAATGAACAGCGAAAACCCGTCCTGGTAATTTGTATCAGTCATTTTATCGTAAATCTGAAGAGTCCATATGTGTAAAGTATGTGTCACTTCTTTACTTCCGTTTGTATTTGACTAGTAATGACATTTCAATTGGTTGTTAATTGAGTTAAATTAATTAATAACTAGAAAATCTAATTACAAAAAAACGCACCTTCAATAATGTCCATCTGGCAGTCACCTCTAAGTCAAAGAATGCACGCTCTTTGTTAATCGCATTAAATGTGGCCCTGCCTTGTCTGAAAGATGATGAAAATAATGGGAAATGGTAAGCTCCAAAAACAGGGAGAATACTCGAAAATCGTCATTTATTATTATGTACTTTATGCCGTAATTGAATTACTTTCAGATGATATGAGTAACCCAGTATGAATCGGACATCTTTTCAAGCAGTTGTTTATAAGTTCAAGGACTTGTACTGGTCCAGTTGGTCCGGCATGGCGGCCTACAGCCTGTATTTTGACCGCAAATTTTGGTGAGCTTGTACCAGATTTCTTTGATCAAGTTCATTTTCGAGCAATTTTAAACAACTATTGGATTAGGTTTTTCTGATATCCGGAAAAATCAAGGTCGAGGTAAGTGTTATCGGTCGAGCCGAAAGCCGAAGCTGATAACATTTTTACTGAGATCTTGATTTTTCCGGATAACACAAAAAAGGAATCCAATAATAGTTTAGTTATACTTCGTTTTGGAAAAAAAAAAAAGAAAACGACAAGAAAACGACAAACACACCGTCACGCGGAGTTTGACATTGCTCTTGGAAATCACGCATTGCGCGCGCAAGCTACAGATTAGTCACTAATCTAGCAGATAACTAACTACTATTCTGTAGGTTGCGCTGATTTCCAGAATTAACTTTAGGCTCTTAGCCAATAAGAAGATACAAATGAGAAGATAAGAAGATACAATAAGACGATATAAGTGCAGTACAAAGTACAATAATAAAAATAATTCACCGAAGAATTCAACTTCAAAAAAATTCGCCAACATTTATAACGAATTGAACGAGATAAAAGGCGGGCGGGCGGGCGAGCGAAGTACAAAAAAAATATTCGCGCGAGGGAAAATTAAATGAAAAAAAATTCATGCACGCCAATTAATCCTAAAAAATATGCACGCTACGGCCTAAAAAAAATTCAATCAAGGAATTTGAAAACGAAAAAATATTCCTGCGGCTCGAACGGCTCACGTGTACGGCAAACGGCAAAAGTCAGATTCAAGTTGAGAATTTCTCAAAATAGAAAATGAGCAGATAAATACAGCTCAAAACAGTTCTTATGGATGAAAAATTGCCTGTAACTACAAATTTAGGGGTAGAAATAACGAACAGTAAACGACAAGTAAAGAGGAATCTTGGTCACGTGGGACAAATTGCCGTTTGCCGTTTGCCGTAACCGTGATGCTTAACCTCTCTGTAGTAAATGCTATCCACATAAAAAACTAACTAATTATCCACAGGGGACCCAGTGATATTTCCAGTGCATAGCGCTGTTCAGCTTTTGATCTGAACTGTGGCCAGATGATCACGTTATTCAGCGTACGATTAGGGGACGTTTCCCGCGCGCGTGACTTGGTCTTCCTCTACACTGTACCTCCGCGCGCAATCACTTGGCATATATTTGACAAATTTAGCGGTAATGATAAGTCACACAAATTAAGTGGACTGCTACTGCCAATATATAATGTAATGAGAACGTGTATTCAGGTCCTATCATTTGCGACTTTATTTTCATTCAGTTCTAACAAGCGAATTCAAGCATGGAAAGGGAAAAATGGACTTAGTATGCTAAGCAGCCGTTTTTAGTGTCATCACGCAACGCTCCTCGCCGGGGAGGAACGTTGCGTGACAACACTAAAAACGCAGGTTGTGAAGCAGACTAAAATGGAGTAAGGCTTCCCATGATCTTTTGTGCTCTTTTGTAATTCAGGCCCCAGTTGTTGAAAAGGTGGATAAAGCTATTGGTTTTTCAAACACTCATCCACTGGATATATGGTGATTTATCTGGTGGACGTGTTATCCAGCTTTGGAGATACGCAGCAGGTGCAAGGCAGTTATGAGTTACAAAGTCACCATGTACATTTTCAACTGTAGACCTAAAATCGTGAAAAAGTGAAAGTGGTGACGGATGTTTCAATACTTGCAGTGAGAGCAGGCTCTCTAATGTAGGTAGGGTAGCCTGCAGCCTTGAGATGAGCTAGCATGAAGCTTCAACACAAAAGACTGGATATTGTCTGCGATTTCAATTCAGCATTAGTCTACTACCCTATTCCTTTATGTATTTGAGTGAATAAAACAAAAATTGACTGATAGCTCACATGAAGTTGCCCTCCCATGGCGATTCATTGATTGGTTGAGATGACTACCTACAAAAAGATAACAGTGCCAGCCAGTTTTTATTTAAATAACACTGTCAGGCCCTTAATTATTAGACATTTTCTTTGACTCTAACTAGTAAGTGCTGCTATCCTACATAATTTTTGACAACTGTCCATGGCTGTAATAACACCTCAAAAAGTGCATGGCATGCAGTACTGCATATGTTCTTCCAGAAGAGCATTCATACAATGGGCAGAAAAGGCTTAGGTGCATAGGCCCAGTCCAAAAAATTACAGGAAGCCAGGTTTTATAATAAAACATTTCAATGAATTAAATTGATTAATATTGATTCTGATAACGATTTGACTGAATATAGTTTATCACTGATTCTTATCGCCAGTTGATGAACTAAGGTGTTATCTACACAAGTGATGCTGTTGGACACCAAGAAACACTGGAGTAATACGATAAAACTAAACTGCATTTGTGTTTGCAATTTCTTTTCCCAATAGTTCTCCTTGCAAGGCGTGACAAACCCAAAGCATGGATTCTTATTAGCATCCCATGCCAAAAGCTCCAGAACTTTCTTATATTAACTTTATGCCCAGCCCAAAACTATGGCTGTTTAAATTTGCAGGGGTACCAGATTACAAGATCCCCCCACTATCAAAGACCCAGGGGAGTACTCCAGACTTCAAGTGACAGGGATGATCAAAGGATTTTCAATTCTGGGATTTTTTTGGGTATTCAAAACAATCTGAAGTTTCGTGGTCAGTGCCCGCGTATTATGGCCGCCTAGTCCTTCAACTGTTTCTATTTTTCGTGTTATTTTAATGCTTTCTGGAAATTTTTAAGGTTCAGAAATTCGGCATGAGAATTGTTGGAGGTTTGATTTTTGCTCCCATTCGATCACCCCCGTCATTTGAAATCCGTAGTCTCTTCGCCGGGCCCCAGGAAATCAAATACATTCCGTTTTCAAATTAATCAACCGATTAATTTAACGCAAGTGTGAGCGCGATATTTTTCCGACAGATATATTTCATTGACCTTCTACGACGCTAACTGTAAGAAGAAATTGCAAGGTGATAACACCTCCAAAAAGAAATCTACAACGGAAAACATGCACAGAAACAAGCGGGCCGTGTATACAACAGCTGATACGGACATCAGCATCAAAATGACGCCGTTATATCGGTCATCTGTAATCGACTGTAAAGTGAAACGAAAATCGGCAGCAAGATAAGCTAAAAATAACAAGAGGTGTAAGTTTACTCACTGTGAAACAGAAATATGTACCCTTTCGCCCCTCACTTGAACCGAAAACATCCAGTAGAGTTTGCTCTCTTTGCTACAAATCGCTACAAATGTAATGTCACGGTCAGCGGTAAGACCCATGGAAGGCAATCTAAACAGTTTTTTTATTGGTTGAAGTACTCGTGACGTCGCTTAGTAAGATTTTATTCCCGCCATTTTGTCCTCTCGTGTGTTCGAAGATTTGGCCAATGTAGATTTTTCGAACGAAAGAGAACATGGCGGCCTCAAAAATCTCACTCGACAAAGACGCCTTTTTTCGACGAATCAAAAGGATTTACGACACCTGGAAGGTAAAAATTTGGGGGTGTTATGTGGGTCAGTGAAGTCGTTGTATTTCGTCACGACTTTGTCTTTTTAATTCGTTCGATGCGCTGTCGTGAATTTCAGAAAGAGGAGACGACGGAAGATAATGGTACAAACTTTCCAAGTGTTGATGCAGTTGTTATTGCGGTTGGACAAGATGAGGACGTTATTTACAGTAAATCGACAGCCATCCAGGTAAAATAATAATTCCAGTGTAAGTATGTGGGTTTTCGTAGTCACATGTGAGCTTATTGAGTTGTATCATAAGTACGTTGTACATGACGTATCTACCCAACTTTTAGTAGACGATAAGGACATTTTGCAAATATTTTCCATGCAATGTCAAGCAGTCATTTGAGCGGTTTTCTTTATTTTGTCAGCATGCAAAATTTTGCTTGCTGTGATTTGTCGATGTTTAATTGGGCCTTTATGACATTTTATCGAAACCAGCGGTGATTTTATTCCTATTGAGAGATGTTATAAATGCCCTTAGTCCAGGAACTTGTGAAGATGGATCAATTGGCTAAAGAAACCTCACTTTATACCAATGCCTGCAGGCATAAAAAAGTGTACATTTTTAGTAGACACTATATTTGACAACTCTTTCATATTTCACTCCACTCCCTCAGCATTTTTTCAAATCATAAATAGGAGAAAATTCTGCAAAGTAGTCCATATAAAAATCTGTCTATTTCATGTTGTTTGTCTTTGTCTAGCAATGGTTGTTTGGGTATGAACTGGCAGATACAGTCATAGTGCTGTGTGAATCTTCAATTCACTTTCTTGCAAGCAAAAAGAAAATTGACTTCCTGAGGCCTGTTCAAGATATGCAGAAAAAATTAAGCAGCTCTCCGTCAATAGAGCTCCATCTGCGGGACAAGGTGATAAGCATTTTTGTACGCTGTGACTTTTGAGTGACCTTTTAGTATTGCATAATTTACTACCCTACACGTAACTTGATGTTTCAGTGGATAGTTGGTGCCGATTTTATATCTCATAGTATTTTTCTGAGTCCCACAGCGTAAACAGAGAAGGAAACAGGAGACATTTCACAATACCCCCACTGGTTTCCCCACAAAATAATGTCTGAGTAACAAGCACAGAAATTTCATAGTGATGTCATGTCCAAGATCATGTAGTGACCTGTCACTAGTATGGAATTTCTGTGTTTGTTCCTTAGACATCATTTCAACAGGAAACCAGGGGTGGCTTTGCAAAATGTCGCCTTTTTTCCAAGGTTAACTTTCAGGATTTTGTTCTCCTTTCCTTGAGTAAAATTATCTAATAGCTAAATAATATATGTACAGGTGTAAATGCTTATACAGTATTGTGTACTCATATACTTTAAGTAATGTAATGAAACAGACCTATATTTTTATTTCACAGACTGATCAAGACAAGGCAAATTTTCAAAAACTTGTCAAGTCAATCAAGGAAAGTAAATCTGTAAGTAGTTAAAAAATGGAGTTAACAAAAAAATCAATATTTCGAACAGACTTTGACTGCTTCAGTGTACATGTAGTACAAAGATTAAGCCAGACTGAAGATAACCTTTTAATGATGACTAATGAATTAATAATATTATACTACTAAAGAACTTGTTAACTGAACTTAGCTGTTTTGTCAACCAGGAAGTAGACTTAGTGTTCAACTAGGGCCCAGTGTTAATTTTTAGTGGACACCCAGTTGCCCATAATAAAGTGGTGCATGAAAAAAACAGAAAGGTTGCTTTTGTTAAGCTGTTAAATAGCTTAGTGCCTTGCATTTTCATGTAAACCAAAAGGAGAATTTAACAGTAGTTGAAAAGTAACTCAGAGCCTTCTACTGCCACTCCTACTACTTGCATTCTTAGCTTGCTAGAGCTCTTTTTTGCTTGTTTGTGTTAATATTTTGGGCATGCTTTTTTTTGTTGCAATGTAGTCAGTATACAGTGTACATGTATTAAAGTTTGTATGTCTGATATAAAGTAAACTGTTCTTGTTGAATTTTACTTTCAGGGGAAAACAGTGGGTGTTTTTGTCAAGGATAATTTTCAAGGACAATTTTTGGATGAGTGGAAAAAAGTGTTTGAAAGTGAATCATTTGAGAGGGTCGGTAACAGCATTTATAGTATATCATCTCACAAATGTTCAGTATAAATTTGGGTGATAAACAAACTAATAAATATCGGGGGAGTTATTTCATGGCCACTTTTTTTTTTTTCACATGCTGACCTCTTCTATTAGGCCATTTTACAGTTGTGTGCTCAGTGTCATGGCCATTGAATAAAAGTGAGGTTGGAGTCAGTCTCCCTCGCAGTTAATAATTTTGTCTTGTCAGAGCATTGCGTGACAAGACAGAAACGGCTGCATGAGAGACTAGGCTGGAAGTAAACTTTTTTGTTACAAACCTTTCTGCTCTTCATGTGCAAATCGTGTTATTCTCAAGCTAATAAATAAGCCTTTGAACATAATCATTTACATGTGAAAAACAGGAAGGTTTGTAGCTAAACATGGTCACCTCCAGTCTAGTCACAGGCCATGGCATTCTGCAGGTAACTGTAAAGTGGCCTATTCTGTCTTTTTCCCTGCATCAGAGACTACTTCAACTATGAAAGGCTCCCATAAAGACAAAGCTGTGTATGTAAACATTACCTTTGAAGTAAACAGATAGAAACAGTGCTTCTGGAGTGTATATGTTGCAGTTTATTTTTTATTTCAGTTAATTTTTGTTTTTCCTTTGTTTCAAATTCATTAGCATACATTACCATACCCAAAAACAATGGAAAAACAAAAATTAACTGAAATAAAAAATTAACTGCAACATATACAACATACATTGTATACCCAGTTGCTCCGAGAGGGGAGGATAAGCAGAGGTTAGCAGATACCACCCAGACTCCAAATTTGGATGAAAGGCAAAAAAAATTCATTGGCCAAGAATTTGAGACATAGTGTGTCTTGTATGTATTTTGTTACTCTTCTGCATGAAAAAGCTGAAACTTTCTATTGTTATTTTACAGGTTGATGTCAGTAGTGCTGTTGCATATGTTATGTCTGTAAGAGAAGACCAAGAACTTAATCATGTCAAGGTCTGTACATTATTTTGAGTATGTCCTGATTGCAGTTGGATAAAACACCCTATAAATTGCTAATATTAGAGCCTTGTACAGGAGTAGATTTAATAAAAAGCATGTACAGTAAACAGACTGAAAGGGTAATCCTTTTCCAGTGACAAACTTCAATATGAGTATCAGCTCTCGACCCTAGTGGTAGTCCACTAGGTCCTGACTTGTACTGTAAAACCCTACATGTATCTCCAGACTTAGTTTTTTTGGACAATTTATTTTTTGCTCAACAAAGGTTTGAAAAGATACATGTAGTTGTAAGTGAAGAGAAAGACAGGAAGGTGTATGCAGGTATGTACCTACAGTGGATACTTACATGTAACAATTTTATTTCTGTAGAAAGCAGCTCAAGTCTCATCTGACATTTTTGTTAAATATTTCAAGAAGCAAATCATGGAAATTGTAGATGATGAAAAGGTAGGATTAATAATAAAGAGCTTAGTTGCAGGAGAGTAAAATACACTTTTGTGTGGCCCATAAGTGGATGAGTTGTATTCCATTAAAAATAAGTTTTGTCAACATTAATTTTTCAGTTTAAAAGATTTGTATGTGATATTTTTGTCGGTTGTTTTTGTAGAGGGTCAAGCATTCAAAAATTTCTGATGGAATAGAGGGAGCCTTGGAGTCCAAGAAATTTTTAATGGCTGGCATGGATTCTGATCAGGTGTATATTTGAATTTATTTTGTAAAGAGATTTGCCTGTTCAATTTTAAAATTAAGGTTGTCATTCATGGGAGCTCTGGAGTAAAGACAGTTTTTTTTTTTAGGTTGAGATGTGTTATTCCCCCATTGTACAAAGTGGGGGAAAATTCACCCTCAAATTTAGCACAGTCAGGTATGAAATATTATTACTAGTATATGTATATCTGAAAAAAGTACATTATTGTTGCTCTTTCTGTAAAAAAATACAGTTGATGACTATCACAAATGCCAAAATAAAGTAGTTAATGTGAAAATGAAAAATGTGAAACAACAACAATTTCATTATTTTTTGCCAACATTAATTTTAATGCGATAATGTCGTTTGATAATTTTTTGTTTTTCTATCTAGTAACGATGAGAAGCTTCATTATGGTACAATAATCTGTTCCCTTGGTGTACGGTACAAGTTCTACTGTTCAAACATTGTTCGGACAATGTTGTATGAGCCAACAGAGGTTAGTGTCGCAACAGCTGTAACTGATTTTTTTTTTCATGTGAAACAACAGTACACATTTGGAAAGTCAAGTTTTTGGTTGGGCGTTGAGAATTGTTATTTCTTTCTAACTTTTAGGAACAACAAGACAACTATAATTTGCTGTTAGCAACACTGGATGTAATTTTGGATAAGTTAAGACATGGTAAGTTGTAATGTTTTTTTGAACTTTACACTAATCATCTGTTGAATGATATTTTGTAGGACACAGTTGAACCTCCTGTAAGCAACCACCCAAAATGCCAAGATATAGTGGTTGCTTCCAGGAGGTCATGGCTTATTAGAATTGACCACAGCGTATTTCAGGAAGGGTCCATTCACTCTACCTTTTGGAAGATAGTATATTGCTTGGGCATTTCAATGGGAACAGCAGAGCATTAAAATGGGCTTGGTTTTCCTTCTGACACAAATCTTCCTCTGGCGCATACAGTGTGAGAGCAAGATATAGGAGTATGCGCAAAATTGGCATGTGAACTAAACCAAAGCACATGGCCAGTTGGTGAGCAAAGCCATCTGCATTTGTTGTATAAAACTCAGTGATCACAAGAGTGAATTCCGTCATTTCTTATACACAAAATCTTTATACCACACGCTGTAATTTATCTCAGAGAGACCTACAGTTCAATCAGTAACTGACTTTTCGAGACAATTTTACTGACAAACTCTTCTGCTGAACCTTATCAAGAAACCATGTCTAAGTAGTGAGCTACCAACTAAATTTGAACAAAGTGTTTTTGATCAACTCAAGAGTCTTGTTGACGATATTAGGAATGCCTCCATATTTAAGCTTAGTTGCTTTGCAGAAGATGAATTGGGTACTTCAATTAGCTTTTGTGTAACGATATTCTTGCTCTTTGCTTTGAATTGTCATTGATTTTATCTTCCTTTGTTTTTATGACCTTTACTAAACTGCAATCTAATACGTTATAGTCATGCAGCCATCTTTTCCAGATGTTTTTCAATATTAGACTGTTGTTATCTCGTTAAACTTTGCCTTTGAAGACTGTGATTTCTTAGGCAACATTTTCTCTTTTGAACTTTTTTATATGATGACTTAGACTTGTATAACAGTAGTGCAGTAAATGATTTGACCCACCGATAGCAAAGGCTAATCAAGATGGGTCAGTTCTTAAACAGTTTATATGCATCTAGTTGCATGCAATTTCTAAGTAGCATTTGTGTACTTTCATGCCGTCACTAAAATTTCTTCGTTTAGTCAGAGAAGTGTGACATCAGAGAATCTGCTTATTTTTCAGGAGTAAAGCTTTGTGATGTTTACAATGCAGCACTTGAACATGTTGGTAAACAGAAGGCTGACCTGCAAAACAGTTTCGTGAAAAATGTTGGGTAGGAACAGTTTCTGTCAGTTCACTCTTCATTCCTTAAACAACCGTTTAAGTTTTCATGCAAGACTATGCTGAGGTTTAATACACTCAAAAAATGTTATTTTACAATTGAGTGACATTAATTTTGTTATACATGTACCTGGAATTGTACACGTTTTCCTTTCCTTAACTTAAGTATGTGTTGTTCACTTTCAGGTTTGGGATGGGAATTGAATTCAGAGAAGGCTCTTTGCTAATAAGTTCAAAAAATACCCATGTAGCAAAGAAAGGTAAGAATATAGTCAAGATTTACTCAAATGAGCAGGTCTGCCAAGTAACTGGGAATGGAATAATAAAATAAAATTTAATAATTAATGATAGTAATAATCAGTGAGCTGTAATAATGTTGGTAGATTTTGACCCACTTTGTTTGTATCTTTTTTGGATTCATTCATTTGGTAGTAATCTTTGTTATAATTGACAGAAGCAATAAACTGTTGGTTAGGTTTTTGAGCCTGACCTTGGTCCACTCTTGATCAGAGATTTAGAACTCAGTTTGATTAACAGAGACCTCCTCTCATAGAGTTTGAGGTAGACCTAGCTAAGATACACTTGGTTTCCAAAACAGTTTTTACACTCCTTCCAAAATGTTTAAGGTCAATTATATACCAGCTGTAGAGAACTCTACTGGAAAAAAATGGTAAAGGCATACACAAGCCAAAGGCCCAAACAGTTGGAGCTTATCCCGGTTGAAGCCCCTAGGAGTGTTGTTACTCCCCCCTGGACAGGATGCTAATCCATTGCAGGCTTAACCTCTAGCAGTATGTCGCCGGTAGCCATTTATGCACCTGGGTGAAGAGAGACAAAGTGGATTTTAAAGTTTCTTGTCCTGGGAAACAATGTGAAGGGTGAGGCTTGAACCCCAGACCTCCAGATCCAGAGTTCGTGGTGTTAGCCGCTGGCGACACATGCCTCCACACATATCGACATACAAACTAACAAACGTTTTTAGATCCAGAAATCTCAAAAGAGGCTGACTGTGTTGGAGACTAAATTCTTGCTCAAAATTGACTGTCCACTGTCCTACAAGACCAATTAGGGTGTACAACCTAATTTTGAAAGAAAGGGACTGTCAAAACTACAGTTTGCTATTGTAAACTATCAAATGATCTACTTTTTGTCAATAGGTATGGTTTTCAATGTAAATGCAGGGTTTTCAGGGCTGGTTAATGAGAGTGCTGACAATAGTGAAGGCAAAAACTATGCTTTGTTTATTGGGGATACTGTTGTAGTCAATGAGGTAAGATTCTTCGGCATACAGTGTACTGTCAACTTCCTTTGTAATTAGTCATTGTGGATAATTAAGTTTTTAATTTATATTTTTTTTATTGAAGAACTTGGTTCACTGCATGAATGGGGCATATTATTAATTCCCTCCAGATCCTGAAAGTTTGTGGCACATTTTCAGTATTTGCTTGAAGCAGACATTTATCTGTTCTCAACTTTATTTCTTCCCAGGATGCTCCTGCTTCTCTGCTTACTGCGGCTAAAAAGAAAATTGCAAACATTGGTATCTTTCTCAAGGTTTGTTTGTCTTTTGTTTGCTTTGCAATAGTATTAATATTATCCTCATGGATGTACAGCCCTCTCGCAAGCTATTTAAAACACAATAAGTACAAAATAAAGAAGACTTGGCAATTTGTTTTGTTTGTTTGTTTGTTATTGCATGAAGGTAGGGCTGATATTATCTTCATTAATTTTTCTCGATTTTGCATAGGATGAAGACGATGAAGGGGAAAACCAGCAAGAGAATGGCGAGGTATGGTGTCTAAAAATAACTACATGCTTTGGGCACTTTGTAAACTTGGTTCATTACTGTAGCATTTACTGGTCGGCACTGCTAGAGGAAAGTATGTGGAGAAGCTAGTGACATAGAGGTCAGGGTCAGGTTTTTTTCTTTTTTCAGGCTGAGGAAGATTATCTTTTGGGTCGAGAAGGAAAAGGCGCCTTGCTTGAAAGTAGAACAAGAGTAAGTGATTTATAAATGTTGCAAAAAGAAGGAAATAGGGTTTAATAGATTGCTCGTTAACAGGTTTTCTTCCTCACTCTTTAGATAGGCTGTAATATAACTGTATCAGGCATTTTCTCCAAACTGTTCTCTATGCATTTCTTGTAATACTACTGAGGAGATTTTTTTCATAATCAAGACATCAGTTACATACAGTACCACTGTTTATTGTCACCTTTAACATAATCTTTGATGTAATCTTTGCACCTGATTATTTTAATAACCTGTGATATTATGAGGAGGGATTACTTTCTCTTCACTTTTAGGGAGTACTTAACGCAGGTTTGACCATGCAGTTTGCTTTCTTTAAAAATTTAATTTCATGAATTTTTTCTGCAGTATTCTGAGCTGAAAACATCTGGATCGTCCGTAAGCCATTTACAATGAATTTTTTAAAATAAGATCTATAATTGTTAAAAAAAAAATTTTTGAAGTTGTTCTTCTTAGGTAAAATCAAGTTAAAATTCAGACCAGACATGCCAGACGTTGACATACATAAAACACAGCACTGTTATATTTAAGAAAAGAAAAGATTTGTAACAATAAATTAAATCTTTGCACCTGTTAATTAAAGCATACATTGGTAACCTTCACAGTAGAGTAAAATAAATGAAGTCAACTGTAGCTAAATGTTGTTATGCATTCAATTTTACTTTCTGATTAAGCACATTCTAATCTAATAAATATTGAAATAAATCATTTCCACAATATACGAAGTTAAACTCTGCATAAAATTTAAACCTTTCACTCTCAGTAGTGCTAACACAAAAACATCATGTATTAATATACAATTTTTGATTTGCAAAATACCAAGGAACAAATCGTGCCATGTAGTAAAATCACCTTAAAGGTATAATGGTTGCATTGAGAGATTCTGTTGTCAGAGCTCAACATGACATATAATGTACCTCCATAATACACGCTGGGAGTGAAAGGTTGAATGTAAACTCTTAAGAAATAAAATATGAAATAAAGTTAACAATGCAAGTCAAACCTGTGATAGATTCAATGTTATGATTATTCTTCTTGTCGATATATTGCTTTTGAAGTGATCATACTATTTATCTAAAACAGACAGAAATGACTGCAGAGGAAAGAAGAAAGAAGCATCAATTGGAATTAAAAGAGCAGCTACATGAAGAAGCAAAGGTTTGTGTGATAGTTTACTTTACTGACAGACAACAAGTGCGGATGTAGGATAAATGCTGATCGATTTCCTAATCGAGCACCAAAGGTGTAAGTTTCCAGAGGGGGTCCGGGGGCATGCTCCCGGGGAGTTTTTATTTTGGATTTTAACTCCCTAAAGTCCCGTTACCTGGGTTTCTGAGTCATTTGGACAGGATATTGGCCTGTTCCATTCTTGGGATGAAGCCTTACAAATTAGCGATTATTATTATTATTATTTCTCATGCTGGAAAATTCTGGAAATTGGAAAAAAATTTCCAAAGCATTTTCCAGAAAACATATACTTTTTATAACAAATCTGTCTGATTTCCGTAAAACAGCGGAAACCAGTGTGGATCCGCACTTGGGTGAAGCGACACCAGGATTATTTCTGGAATTGTTTCACAATGAAAAGGAAAATAATGTTGTGGGCCATTTAATCAAGGTCATTACTAGTACATGCCCCCAAGGAAATACTAATAGTGTATTCGAGTTGGTTATAATTGACAACTGGATTCAGGAACCTGAATGAAGAAATTTATTTAGCTAGAATTAGATCCAATAAAATGAGAGAGTTCTTTAGACAGAGTCTACTACAACACTGAACTTCTTTGGCTATGTTTAAAGAACTCTAATTTTATTTACATTCAGTAAAGGCCAGCTCATCTCTGTTTTCTATTTTATTTGTTTAAATAGAGGCGTCTTCTGGAGTCAAAAGGTGATACCAACACACTTGCTAAGTGAGTTTGACTGCATGCTTTGCATTCGTTTATTGACACCTTCAGTCATCACCATCATCATTATCACATCATTATCATCATTGTTATAGTCGTCATCATTATTTCAACCACACTGTCATTATCTTCATTGTCGTCCTACTCATCATCATCATCATCATCATCATCTTCATGATCATGATCATCATCCCTAACCACGCTGTTATCATTACCACTACTTTTAAAATCTTAATCATAAGTGTCTTTTTTGTGACAATCATACGATCAACGTTGTAGATAAACGGTTTATTTTCATTGCCAGTTAACATCTATGATCAAGTTTGTTCTTTATGTTTGTTTGTTTATTTTATAACTCTCATGTGTCCTTGAAAAATCTACTTACAAAGAAGAACTACATGGACATTGTACTGTTGCTTTCTTTAAGGGTGGTTTTCTTGTTGTTGTTGTTTATTGTAATTTATATCGTATCTTGTTTTCAGAGTAAAGCCATCGAATGTTGCTTACAAACACGCCTCATTGGTCCCCAGAGAAAATGAAGTCAGAGATCACAAAATATTTGTGGGTAAGCAATTATTGGTGTCCACCACACATGCTTGTGACACTCGATATTTTTCCATTACATGTCATTGGTTTGTTCTCTATTTTTTCTTTCAACCAGATAAAAAGTATGAGGCTGTAATTTTGCCCTTTTTTGGAGTCGCTGCACCGTTTCATATATCTACCATCAAGGTGAGAGTCCCATGTGAACATAAACCTAAGGTATCTGGTCACCTCGCCACCAATTGCAAACCGTCTCGCCACCAACAATAAGACTTAGCTTTACCCAGTATTTGGAGTATTTTAAAAGAGCATAAGAAGTTCAACGCAAAGAAAGTCAGTTAGGATCGACAGATTTGTATCTGAATCGACTGCAAATTAGCATAAGCGTTATGAAAAAGTAAATCTTAGGTAAGTAATCCTAGGCATTAAACTATGTCAATTATTTGCGAGTCATTCGTTGGTGGCCAGTCGACTTCTCTGGTTGCGAGATGACCATAAACGAGATGACCATAAACCAAACCGTAAACTGCAGCTTGTAGCCCCCCCCCCTCCCCTAGTTAAAGCCCCATTTACGTGAAAGCAGAAAAATACATCCCATTATAAGCCAATTTTGATCATCATTGTCATAGCTTATTTTGAAGCGCCTTTTCTATTCCGGTTATAAGCCTCTCCGATTATAAGCCCTTCCGTTTGTAACCCGTCCTAAACCCCCTTACAAAGATTTATAAGCCCAGAGCTTATAAGCGGCAGTGTACGGTACTTGCCAACTTGTCTGAGTCTCGGACGTTAAATTTGTAACCTCGGAGAGCAAGGATTTTCTTAGATGTCCGAAATCCAAAGATGCCGAAAATTTCCGAATCTGTTCTGCAAAAGACTGGTGGTACTCTCTGACAAAGAGAACGTAAGAATCTTAAACGTCCCAGAGAGCCAGCGGAATCTGGAAGTCAGAAATTGCGTGTCTTTATTTTTTGGAACTTTTATGAATTTTTTTCTGGAAGGTTGCGGTAGTTTAATGTTCTCATCCATGCGTGATAGACTTGATTTAAGTAAGCACGAATAAGGTTTGCTAGGCATAATTTTGCGACCATTCACCGGCGAACTGATTGTCGACTGCAGTCTTAAGTGAACAAGCACTTTTTGAGTTAAGAATTGCTGCTGCAATTTAGCCTGTGAATGCGGCCACCTATCATGCTTCTCCCTCGGTGGGGACAAACGTCCAAACGACGGGGAGTGGTGAGAGGCAGCTGTATTGACAGGCTTCTGCAGTCAGCCAAAAAAAATGCTCTTTATTTCCAATGTATTTAACACGAAAGTACCAATTGGGGACATTATTTTAGCGTCACCCACTGGAGACGGGACCGCCATTTTGCGTGGTCATCTGAGCCAGACAATGAAAATTGGTCCGGCCCCAGGAATCGAACCCGCGACCTCCCGCTCTACAATCAAGCGCTCTACCGACTGAGCTAATCCTACCTCGGTCATAAGTACAGTTTACTCAGCGCAACCATTGGCGTGAAGTGAAATACTGTCAATACAAACAGAGAAGGAATGGAATTTTAAATAAAACGATGTACAGGGTTGTGAAACGCTTTTTATATTTATTTTATTTGTTCTTCTGTGTTCCAGAACATCAGCTCCAGCGATGAAGGCGGATATACTTACCTTCGAATTAACTTGTTTTGCCCGGGAAGGTAAGTGAGAAAGGGGCCATTATGGTAAAAAATCTCCAGCAAGACCTTTAAGCGTCAAAACTGTAAACCTGCATGCATCTCCCATCCACTCTAAGTAACTGCAGTAGTTGTTTTCTTCAAAGCCAATTTTTCAGTGGTGTTTCATGAAACCAAAGGCAAAGAACATAGTCTGGCCAATCACTACAAATGTCCGCGCATTCCCCTGAACCAATCAGAACTCGAAGTAACGTTGTTAGTCTGTGTCAAGCGTCTGGGAACGTTGCCCTCAGCAAGTCATGGATTCACGACTGGTCCTGGTTTTTCCCTTGATCTGTCAAGCAAGTTGCGCAAAGTGTACAATGGAAAAAAAGAAACAAGGCATTCGTGAGATTCTTTTCGTTCCTCAATTAAAAAACGTTTGTTTGTGGTTTGTTTAGCTCTGTAGGTCGATCAGAAGGAAGCCTTTTTGCGCAGCCTGAAGCTACATTTGTGAAGGAAGTGTAAGTGTTTTGTGTTGAAATTATCTGCTCATTTGAAAGCATTTTCGTCGTCACCTGGTTGAATAAGCAGAGACCAAATTTTTGTGCAGGAAAACAAAAAAATAAATAAATAAACGTGCTTCCTGTGTGAAAGCCGGCGGGGAAATGTTCACCCAATATTAAGTGCATAGCTACATGTACATGAAGTGTTAGGAAAGCTTTCTTCCATGGGAGACAAGTCTCATTTGTTGAGGAATTTCGACAAAGTTGTTTGAAAAACATGACAGAATTGTGTTGTTATTAGAATTATTAGTATTAATTTATTTGTATTAGATGATTGTTCATTTTTAATCTGACGCTCTTTTCTTTGTTTTAATTGATTATATCTGTTACAGTACATATCGAAGTTCAAACTCCAAATCGGCGGGATCGTTACATCCTCCAGCTCTTAACCTTACCACGGCATTTCGTCTGATAAAGGAAGTACAAAAGAAATTCAAAACAAGAGAGGCTGAGGAAAAAGAAAGGCAGGTCAGTGAGTGATGTGTAGGCCCGGCGCTATCTTGGCGGTATGTAAAACTAACACCGAAGCCAGCGGCACACATTTGAACGCACGTTAATCAGCAAATGTTCAGCTCTTGAACATTGCGTATATCGTGCTACGTTGAATGATGAAGTAGGCCATTCAACAAGTATTGAACTTTGTTGACTGTTGTTAACCGACATAAGAAGTGGGCTGTTTTCTGTTCAACATGTTGCAACTTGTTGAGCAACAAGATCGCTGGCCATATTTTGTCAATGAACAATAATTGATGAACGATGTCGAAAGTTAAGTCATAACACTAGACCAAGAGACATTATTTTGCGTTATCAGAAGACTTTTTTTAATGGTGGAAGTTGTATAGACTTTGTTGCCAATAAGTTTAATGCATGTACATGTACAGCCCTCCAACTTAATTTCCAACGTACAAGAGGAGGTGTTGCCACGTTGTCAGTTTTCTTTGTTATATCACCTAAACTAACTCTAATAATGTTTTTTTTTTCCTGACATACCAACCTACATTTAACCTTTTCATTTCAACTGTCACGAGTTGGAAAAGATGCACACTTCTACTTTGTCAGTTAAAAGGCGAATGACCGATTTTTTCTACCCTTCAAATCGCATATTCATGTTGGGTAGCTGATTGGTTGATCGTGTTTTTATTTTGTATTTTAGGGGGTGGTTCAGCAAGGCAACCTCATTTTAAATCCTAACAAAGGAAATCCCAAGTTGAAAGATTTGTACATTAGACCCAGCATCACCCAGAGACGATATCCGGTGAGTTTGTATTTATTTTCGTTAGTTGTCTTTCCTTCAAAATACTAATAAAATTGATAGCAGAGTTAAAATGGGAGATGAAACTGTTGCTTGACTTTGAAATCTTGCACCCGTCCGTCTGCCTGCTTTGCAAGCGCCCAAAAAATAATCAGCGGCTTTGTTTTGCAAGTGTGTTAATCGTTTAGATTAGTTTATCTGACACAAAATATCTGGTCCAAAGATATGGTTTCTAAGATCTGAACGCCTTTTGTTCATTCTAGGGCACTCTGGAAGCTCACACTAACGGTAAGGAAGTGTCTTTATATATTTAGGTTTATTATTTAGATTTAGCTCAGGACAAAGCTTTCAATCACGCGTTGTTGTTGTTATTAAAAGGACTATCCTGTGCTTGTGTTAGTGAAATCATCATCTCAGCTATAATTTTGCAAGTTGTATTTCTTATGTCAGTCCTTATCCCATTTTTCATTTTACCAGAGTGAAAGCCTGTGATTCGGTTTCGTTTTATCTTCTCGTCGCATTGGTCTTTAATTTGCAGTCATGCAATGACATCTATTTTTGTTGTTTTGTATGTTATGTTACACGCTCACTTTGGTCTCCCTGTAGGTTTTAGGTTTGGTATGTATCGTGGGGAGCATGTGGACATTTTGTACGGAAATGTAAAGCACGCTTTCTTTCAGGTAATTTTACTAACCTCCTCTCTTTGTCTATTTATTGATTTATTGATAATATTAGTTGGTTTTTTGAAACAAAAGTCAAGAATTCGCGGGTCAAACGTCAATCTTCACATGAACCGAACCTACTGCTCAGCTTATGATTGAGAACAATAGATTTTGCCCATTATCGTTATCGTTATTTTGCCCATTATCATTACCGTGAAGGAATGGATTATGTTAGGTTATGTTATGTTAGTTTAAGGATTATGTTAGGTTGATGCTCGACGTTTGAACTGGACCTAACTGTAAAGGCATTTTAGTAACCTTTTTGTTTTCTTTTTCTTTTTTGCCATCCAGCCCTGTGATGGAGAAATGATTATTTTGCTTCACTTCCACCTAAAGGTTTGTCAGAGTTTCTGGATTTATATTTTACTTTTTACCCTAAAAACCGAGGTATGCATTCCCCTGTCGGAGAATACCCCGTCGGAGAACAATTTTACACGTCTTTGACCTTAGTCTGCCCTTTTACCCAAGCTTCGATTAGTTAAGTTATTCTTTACATAAAGTTTAAAATACGTGTACGATTGGATAGTGTGAGAAAACAGCCGACTTTTTGCGACGCCACAATCCCACTATTTCCCCGCGAAATGACGTCTGAGAGACACGCGCAGAAATTCCATACTGATGACGCGTCACTACCCAGATCTGGGCAGTGACACGTCATCAGTATGGAATTTCTACCCTCGTTTCTCAGACGTCATTTCGCGGGGAAACCAGAGGTGGCGTCGCGAAACGTCGGCTGTTTTCTGAGGCTATCAGTTGCATGGTTTGTCCTATTTCATTCCAGATAGGGTCTAAAACTATATCATAATTGCCCTTAATTCCAGCTACAACTGTATCCACACTGGCTAATTTTATTAAATTGAATTCTTTGCTTTCCTTGTTATTTTACGTTCTTAAAGACGTTTTGTATTTTACTGTCAAACATTTTTACTTTGTTTTGTTTATCGTCAGCATCCTATTATCATTGGGAAAAAGAAATACAGAGATATACAGTTTTATACAGAAGTGAGTGCTGTTAATTACATTGAGGATAACTGCTGTTGATTTTGAAATTTCTTCCTACTCATGAACTGTGTATTTGCCCTTATATTATGTTATTTCTTTCGTAGGTTGGCGAAATCACAACAGATTTAGGAAAACATCAACACATGCACGACAGAGACGATCTTCAGGCTGAACAGGTCTGTTATCATTACTAATATAGCGCCGCTTAGTTAGCTTAGTTAAGAGAGTGCGGGTCTACTGATCGGAAGGTCGCGGGTTCAAACCTGAGCCGGACCAACACTCAAGGTCTTTAAGTAACTGAGAAGGAAGTGCTGCATATGTAGTGACATATGCATACGGTTAGACTTTCTAGTCTTCTCGGATAAGGACGATAAACCGCAGCCCTTTCACTGTTCTGATTCTTGTGGGACGTTAAAGAACCCACACCACTGTTCGAAAAGAGTAGGGGACGCAGACCTCGGCGATGTGCCAACCTTTACCTTTGGATTATCTGTTAGGAGCGATCTTAATAATACAGGGACAACATCACGATCCTCCTTCAGGTGTCATAATGGCTACCTGTAAACAGTGTATGTATATGTTGTAGTTAAATTTTTAATCCAGGTAATTTTTGTTTTTCTTTTGTTTTTTGGTATGGTAATGTATGCTAATGAGGTTGAAACAAAGGAAAAATAAAAATTACCTAGGGTAAAAAATTAACTACAACATATACGTTAGAAAAATTGACATAAAAAACAGTGGACTAGAGTTTCTGTATGTTGTTTTTCTCATTTAGGCTGAGCGAGAGTTGCGACAAAGGTTAAAGGCTGTGTTCAAGAGTTTCATTGACAAAGTCGAAGGAATTACTCACGGACAAGTCGAGTTTGATGTTCCGTTTAGAGACCTTGGGTTAGTATAGCCTGAGAAAACAGCCGACATTTCGCGACGCCACCTCTGGCTTCCCCGCGAAATGACGTTTGAGAAACGAGTGTTGAAATTCCATACTGATGACACGTCACAACCCAGATCTGGGTAGTGCTTCTGATTGGTCGTGCCGCCTGAAGCACTACCCAGATCTGAGTAGTAATGTGTCATCAGTATGGAATTTCTACGCTCGTTTCACAGACGTCATTTCGCGGGGAATCAAGTGGTCGCTTCACGAAATGTCAGTTATTTTCTCAGGCAAGGGTTACTAGAACCGACGATGTTGACGTTGTAAAAGAGAAGTCCGTCAGTCAGCTGCAGTTAACGTTTACGATTTGTTGTTAAGCAAGCGCATTTTTCAGTGGGCAAACACGGCAGGGTGGGGGTGGGCAGAGAGAGCTGAAAATGTTGCGGAGAAGTTCTCGACAAGAGGTCGTCGGTTTCAGGAATTTTTAGTGCATTTTTTTCAGATGTTCGAAAGACAACATCTTTGTACACCATGTCTAACTTTATTGATGTTTATTTGGCTAGGTTCATGGGAGTACCCTCTCGAAGCACAGTTTTGCTACAACCGACAACACACTGTTTAGTGAACATTACTGAGCAGGTACGAAATTAGCCGGCTCCCACTCAGACACTCTTTTGGCTCGTCACGCAATCCTCCCCAACGAAAGTGGGGGAAGAATGCGTGACAAAGTCCTATGAACGTCTCCGAGGGAGGCAAGTGCGACATAAACCTTTTTGTTTAAGCTGCATCAGTGTTGTAATGGTCACAGGGCTGAAAATTTGTCTTTTAACAAGAAAAATATCCGGGTAACCATTATTTTAGCCTTACGTACCAGAAAAGTTGTCGGGCATAGATTATGTTGACTTTCGATTTTCTTTTAAAAAATGCTATGTAAATCTTCAGCTTTAAAATTATGGTGTTTTGTATTTGATCAGCCTGGAAATCATGTTCGATCACAGGCAGGAATGAGTCGGTCACTAACAGCGCTTAAAACTGACCATATTTATGTATCTCAACAGTTTGAACCTCGTTGGACTAAGTAAATTGCTTAAAATAGACCTACCGAGCTTACATTATGCGAACATATAAATTAAACATAGCTGGTTTTCTCCCCGATGGTTGAGTAAAAATGTCACGCCTTTTCATTTCAGAGTGTTTTATACTAGTCCTTTTTCTCTTAACAGCCAACATTCATCATTACTTTGGACGAAGTAGAACTTGTTCACTTCGAGCGTGTTCAGGTATGGCTCTTACTAAAATATAGCGCAATATTTTCAGTCATGGCGCACCCGCGAACTGGTGCCGCGAAAATACCGAAAAAGATTATAATTTCAAATCATTGTGAAAAGAAATTTGTCGGGTAACGCATTACTGCTCATTATCACTGCAAGCCAATCGGACGTAAGACCATCACACTTGTAACTATCACACTTCTTTAAGTTACCCATAGCCTGCGAGCAAACTCTCCGGGACGCTCTCGCGGCTTCCTTTTTCGCCCAAAAGCGCCACGAAAAGCTTGGTGGCAGGCTAGGTTACCTGCTCCGAGCGTTGATTCTCCTGTTGAGTTTGGCGGAAATGAATGTGTCCGTTTCTATTTCTTTGTTAATTTTAGATACAAAGCATCGCGTATGGTGCTAACTTAGAGTCCAAAATATTGAATTAAAAAACTTGCGCCATTTTCAATCAAAAACAGCCTTTTCCGCATGGAAAGCGGCAGACCTTAAGCGCCAAAAAGGGCGCAGCTATTGAGGATATAGCTAAATAGATTAGTTTTTAAACGCGACCTTTTATGATGCTCAAATCTTTTTATACTTCAATCCTTGTTCTATTGTATTCATCTTAACTTTTTAATCCTTTTTCCTATGACATTGGATATGTATGTTTATCTGATGAACAATAAAGACACATTATTATTATTATTGCTAACTGGGTACCCATGTTACTGAAGGATTAAGAAAAAAACACTGACTGTCTATGACTGAATCCTGCTGCTTTCCTGTGCTTTTTAGTTCCATCTGAAGAACTTTGACATGGTGTTTGTATTCAAAGACTACAAACGAAAAGTTGAGCATGTGAATGCCATACCTATGACGTCACTGGATTCTGTCAAGGACTGGTTAAAGTAAGTCTGTTGCTTCGCGTACGAACACGTTGCAATACAGTAATTTTTAAAGTTATTTTGCTAAAGATGTTCAGATAGCTTGAGAAAACAGCCGATACCATACCCGCGAAATGGCTTCTGAGAAACGAGCGCAGAAATTCATACTGAAGACGCTTTAGTAACCCAATCTGAGCAGTGCTTCTGATTGGTTGAAAATTTGCTTCATCCAATCAGAAGCACTACCCAGATCTGGGTAGTGACACGTCATCAGTATGGAATTTCTGCGCGTGTTTCTCAGACGTCATTTCGCGGGGGAAACCAGCGGTAGCGTCGCGAAATGTCGGCTGTTTTCTCTCAGACTATACTTTCAAAGGATAACTTAAAAACTGTTGCTATAACCCGCAGTCCCTTTTGTTGAGGAGCGAGGACATCCCGATTTCGGTTCCCAAGGATGACCTCATATCCTTGTTTCGACTTCTTTCCTTTCCGTGTTGCTTTACGTAGGTTGAAATACCCGGAAAACGGAGAGACGGGGGTATGAGAGCCACCTTCGGCCCCTGGTTTGTTAGTTAAAGGATGAGTATTTCGAGCTAACGAAGTAAAATAACTGTTTTTACCTGCTTTTTTACCTTTTCGCAGCTCATGTGACATTAAATACACAGAAGGTATTCAGAGTTTAAACTGGGCCAAGATCATGAAAACGATCAACGATGACCCTGAGGCTTTTATTGACAATGGCGGATGGAGTTTCCTTGATCCTGAAAGTAGTGTGAGTTAACTATACTACCAAGGCCGCTTGCCGTGAAAAAGTTCTAATCTGCCCAAGCCCCCCCCCGCCTCCGCCACCACGACCACGACCCTTCCCCCACCAAACAAGAACATAAGCCTATTTCCAGATGAAACACAAAAATTTGTAGCAAATCAACCACGTTCGTTCAACCCACAATCCCTTGTTTCGGCGTTCTTACGAAGATTTTGAAGCTCGAAACGTCACCTTTTCAATCTTTTAAGGCTTCATTGCTACAGCTTTTGCTGTTTCTGTTGTTGGTGGTGGTAGTGGTGGTGGTGTTGGTGTTACTGTGTTGGGACCATCACCCATCCACCTCTCCCACCCCTATACATTAGGGAGCTTTAGCTACGACTACTTAAGATCCTTTTAAACTTTGTCGAGACTATTGCGACTCGTTTAAAATGTCATGATCAAATGTAAATGAATTGTCCCAGAATTGAATTCTTGGGGTCCTACACCATGTTTGAGAGGAGAAACGAAAATTCTTCAGCTTGTGTTTACGTCCTCCGTAAAACGTCGCATGAGGGAGTTGCACGTCGTAGGCGTGCTGTGACGTCAGAAATGTACAAAGAAGACTGATGCGCGCGCAGAGTTGTTGTTTTGCTTATTTTGATGTTTTCGTCGCCGTTGTCGCTGTTAAAGTTCCGTTCACTTCAATGTTATTTCAGGGAAGTGAGAAGGATGACAGTGAAGGGGATCCAGAGAGTGATTATGCTCCTTCAGAAGACGACGATGAAGACGAATCTTCTCAAAGCGAGTACTCTTCAGAGACAGAGACAAGCGAATCAGGGTCTGGTAAGGACGTGGCTTGGCTCAGTATTGACATTTTTATCTATTGTTGCTTTAGTAACAACGTATATAATCCTAGGCACAAAGAAAACGACAACCACACATATATATACAGTATAACAAAATCAGCTTTATTGTTTGCCGGAACCAGCAAAGTCGCATCAAGGGGGAGGCAAGACCGAGGCCGTTCCCCCACTGACGCGGCGCGCGTCAGTGATGTAGCCGGTAACAGTGATGTAGCCGATAACAAAACTAGCGCACACGATTAGGGGCAGAGTTAATGGACAACTAACGGATGCCACGTATATTACCATTGGACGGTATCCAATACCTCACATTTTCCTTCTTTGTAGACTTTGATGAAGAGATGGGCAGCGAGGAGGAGAGCGGGAAGGACTGGTCAGAGTTAGAGGAGGAAGCTGCGAAAGGTAGACTGGAAACACTTCGATTTGTAATGGTAACAGGAGTGAATGGAGTCCAATTCGGTCTGTAATCGTACCAGTGATCAACAAAATCGGACGACCGCATGGCTGGAGTCTAATTTGTTTATTCACGAGTATGACATTACAAACCGAATTGGACGACACAAAGTTCTCTTACCAAGTAATCATAACTATAACAAAATTTGTGAGGGGACAGAAGTAAAGCCCATCTCTCTCTATGTTGCTCTACAGGGGCAAGTAAAACATTCACACATCACATTAGGACATGTGATTATGTGTACGTACATGAAGAATCACACAATGTAGTATGGTTGAGATAACAAAATTAACTTTTCTAATTTTGTTAAAACTCGTACATTGAAAATCTGGAGTAATCATGCAGAGTAAATCACTGCTGAGTCCAACCTACAGGTAGCTGTTAAGAGTCCTGGTAAAACCTTTGAAATGGCATGCTGTCTCTGATGTACTATGTTAGGTTTTCAGCAAGGGTTTTTTTTTGTTGTTTCAAGGTTTTAAAATTAAAACACAAGATTTTCCGAGAGTTTTTTGCTCGCAGTGGAAAACAAAAAACATTCAAGTGCGCACGCTGTGGCGTGTACTCTCCCGTTACACTGTCCTATTAGTGCTGAAATCAGGACAGCTGATAGCCAATCAAATTTGAGAATTTTGTTATAGTTATGATTGACACTTTTAAAGATGTTTTTCTCTATTAAGATTGCCATTTAGATTTAGAACACTGAGTGATAAAGCCATCACAACAGGGCTGAACTCCTACTTGACCCATTAAGTCCCAACAGTGACCAACATCAGTTTCCTCCTTACAATGTCGATACATGATCGATATGTTAGGTTATTGGAATTAAGAAAATCATCATTTAAGGGGAAATGCTCTGATCTTCTCTCAACTATATTTTCATGAAAATCTATGGAGTCCAGTTTGGAGAATTTGTATGTGGTCATTAGCCAGAGAATGCTTCATCCCAAGTAGTGCATAAACCTCCTCCAAAAGATAAGTGAAAGTGCTTTGAGGCGGAGCCTACAGTTTTTCTTCCTTATCCGAGAAGACTAGATGGTCTAGCAAGTTTTAGATGTAAAAAGGGCGGCAACTCTCCTCAGTTATTTTAAGTGTCTGAGTGTTGATTCGGTTGGGGACCGACCCAACCAATTGATCATTCTCACGTACCAAAATGTGTTTTTCTTTCACCAGCCGACCGCGAAAAAGGACAAGAAGAAACGCCGACCAAAAAAAGGAAAAAGCCGAGTAGCAAACACGATACTCCACGCAGCAAAAAACGGAAACGTTGATCAATGCCAAAGTAACTCAGCGATTCCAACCAATTCTTGCCTGGAGCAGTGTGAAGCAACTTGCCAGGAAATGATGTTTTGGCGGTCTTAAGGATGCCGTGTGCGTAGAACTGTTTTAGAAGATAAAGAGCGTTTTATGGCCTACAGTAGGTCGACCCACACTGTTGGGCGCGTCAACTCTGTGCACTCTAATATTCCATTCACACAAACAATTGGGGGTATTTCGTTCCACTCTGTTTTGTATCGGCTATTTTATCTCAATTTCTCTACGGGTGTTGCAAGACATTTAGAATATTTTCTCTCTCCAGGATTTGTTTCTGTAGTGAAAGTGTGAATGAGATGAATAGTGACAGCCTGAGTTTGTATCACGAAGGATTTGCGCGGGTGAAAAGAGGTCGGCAGGCCGTAGGAAAAGGGAAAATTGGGGAACAAATCGACCTTTCCTTCTTTAGTCTTCCTCTTGTCACCTGTCTAAACGTTAGGTGTTTTGCAAATTCAATGTAATTGATGTAGTGGGTCACACAAACAACGCTCGCTCGATTGCCAAAAACAGTGCCTTAACGGCAGGCTAACTTGATATCAAACTTTTTTCTGTAAAATGTGCCGTTTTAACTTCCAACTACAAGATACCCAAAGGTGAGATCATGAAACAACTTAAAAATCCTTTAAAATGTTAAAAAATATGACAAAGACGACACTTCGGACAGATTAGGAAAAACTTGTACAGTTTATAAACATTGCCAGAATAAAACATTGTTCAATAACTTTTATTTCAATGTGTAGTTACCCAGGAGGATTGAATTTCTAGCACTTTACTACGAATCATCTTGTACAGCCTTAGAAGTATATAAGTAATTGGTTGTAGCTTTTTAAGTGATTAAAAAAAGTTAAAATTAGGTCTTCGTCAATTGTTTGAAAGTTTGGAACCACCGTCTAGTACCACCACAAATTTCAGTCTCAGTAACTTTAATTTGATTGTTACAGTATTGCTGGTTTGCACGTGACGTCACGGCGGCCATTTTTGTGATCAAGAACACAAGCATTTCTCTCCTCTGCGAACTAAACTCTGTTTTCATGTAAATTCTTCGAGAAAAAATTCTGTTGTTTTGACCTACAGCATGGCCGACTTGTCACGTGGTTGCAAACCAAGAATTGTATCTCTTGCTTCATAAGGACCTAGACACAATGAAAAGGCGTCGTTTATGGAACACTGGAATTACTGAAACATGTTGCAGTCGAAGAATCTCCTCAGTATATGTGCGACACTAACTACACGCAATAAATATCATCGCGGTGTGTCTATTCCATCTACAACATCGCAATTTCACTCTTTTTTTTACTGTGACTGCCTTCTTTAAAGGCTACCTGATAAGAACCTCCAGATAAAAGCCCTGCTGCTTCCGACCCACAAGAAGGTGGGTCGCTCTCTGCCATAATAACTATCTCTATCTCATCTCCAGGCTCTTTCCGAGGATTTTTACGTATTTTACGTAAAATACGTATTACAGGACCAATAAGGAGCACTTACGTATTTTTATAGGACCAATAAGGAGCAAACCAGCTACGGTTTAAGATAAAACAATTTACTTAATGAAGGAGAGCGTTAATTCAGCACATGTTCAGTTAGTGTAGCTTATATCACCAACGCTTTCCTAGAAAACAAGTTCTAACAATTAATGTATAACGGGAATTACGGAGTATAAACTCATAACCATTGTTGCCTTTCTCCTTTTGAACAGGTCAGACATACTGGACTCAAATTTTTAGTAAATTTTTTTTTTCAAATTTTTTCCTCTGCCTGTCTTCAATTCACTATCTAATTATAGAGAGTACTTTTGAAATCCGTTCTTTTCTAGTATGCTATGCGATAAGAGAACTGAAAAGTACATAACGATAATTGAGAACAAAAACAAACAAACGCCGTTTGTTGTTTTAAACTTAACCGCAAAAGTATTGTGTTTATGATTTCAAACTACGTAACTGTGTAATTAATATATTGACAAGGTTCTGAAAGGTTCTGAAAGAAACCTTTTAAAGCTCTTTTATAATGTGAGAAAATTGGAGACAAAATTTCCAGCTTCTTTAAATTAAAATGTTTTTCTTTTTTCTCAATAAAATGTTTGGTCGAATCTTGGACGACACTGTATAAAATAATAGATCTCAGTAAACGGTCTTAAGTTCAGCGTATATTTCTTTTTTGACTAAATTTTCTTTATAGAAATTCGCTACATACATCATTCATCACAGTCGTTCTACAAAGTCGTACTACAGTGAAACCTGTATCAAGCGAACACCGTATTAAGCGGACACCCTCTATTGAGCGTACAGAAGCCGACGTCCCCAAATTTATTTCTCTTATTTACTTTAATGAAACCTCTATTAAGCGGACACCTCTATTAAGGACGCGGACACCTAAAAAGTACCTGAAATGGTCATTTCTATTGTTTCCAACCTGTATTAAAAGGACACTTGTAATTAAATTCCACCACCCAACATGCCACACACCGCAAATGCGACAGACTGCAAACCCACAAATTGGCATTGTTTACCTTAAAAAAACGCGACTTAAGGAACAGCTTATTTGATTAGTTTCATAGTGTTTTCTATTTCGTTTTGTTTGTATAGAGCTTGTTTCACTCATCAGATTTCTTCAAATTTGAGTCGCAATCTACGTTTATGGTACTTTGATCAACTGGTTCACTTAAATAAAGAAATTAATGCAAACGTATATCGTCATAGTCTCTGGGAGTATTATAAACGCTTCCACTGTTCATTTGAATGGCAATGGACACCTCATATGACGTTATCTATTTAAACCAGTATTAGGCGGACACCCTGTATTAAGCGGACACTACAGCATTCCCCGAGGGTGTCCGCTTAATACAGGTTTCACTGTACACTCGTCGTGTGTGCAAATTTTGTCAGTAAGTACCTCTTCCCATGAAAAACGAACAACTCCTGGAGATAAACTTCAGTGGAACTTTATTTATCCGAGATCTTTTCGGTCCTTTTTCGATTTGCAATCCTTTTTCTCCACTGAATCACATCCGTAGCCGAAGGCAAACTTAAAAATAGCGTAAGAGTGATTATAAACAAGTTATTCCTAATCAAACGGGAATATTTTTTAACACTTACTTCGTTGCGTAGCAGACTAATGACTCTGCGGTTTTCCAAATTACATGAGGGTACGCCCTAGCTTAAACAGGTCGCTGACTCGGCGGCCGTTTCGTCTGTTTTTAAATTAAGTCATTAATAACTGCCTAGGTACTATTTATGGCGTACATGTATTCTCAGACCAATACAAGTGGTAATTAGAACTGAAGAAACAACTCAGATTTTGATGTTAAGATTGCAAGCTTTTTTTAAAATTGAAGTTGAATAACAAAAATTGAAACTCGAGCTTTACTTTAGGCAAAGTTTTCTATACATGTCGTAAACAACAAGCCTTAACGTTGCTAAGACAAACCGCAATCGAAGACAATCATCATTCGTTTATGCAAGTATATTGCACTCTCTCTCGAGGGCCGCCGTTATTGGTGTTTATATTTTGAAAGCCCTTTACTAAATTATAAAAGAAATGTGTAATATCACGCGAACATGACTCAAACTCAATTATGCGAACATTGAAAATCTAGAAGAAAATATCAGAAATATCTGTGATGTAACGTTAACCAAACGAGCGTATCACGCCAGAAGGTCTTCAGGGACGGATCAAAACGATCCCGGAGCTGTTGTAAAACGTTGCAACTTAATTCTGTCACGAGAGGCAAACTGGCGGAGAAGCGTTTGTAAGAGAGAGTTGGATGGAAGGAATTCAAACAGAAAAATACTTCGAGTCTACTCGTCCAACGACACAACCAACAACATCACCGACAAACATTTTCCCTGCCGCAGAGCCAACACCAGACTGGAACAAAGCCAAGGAACTGTGGGGAATAGCATGGCATATACACTGGATCGGTCTGGGAGTTGCATTTAGTGTCTTGGCCATCATCTCTGTTGTATCTTTGGTGCAAACAAACAAGCACCGGCGTGTCGGTCGTAAACCCCTTGCCGTGGCAATAAATGCACTCCTGTTGGTCTTGGGAATCACACGCGCCTTGTATCTCTTTGTGGATCCGTATGAATCAAGACAGAACGGAGTAAAAATGCCTCGTTGGGCTGCCCAGTTGCTTTACAACATATCGTTTCCTTGTTTATCCTCAGCGTTTTATTTAATCTTTTTAGTTTTCCTTGAAGTTGCCAAAATTCAAGTGGTATCTAAGAAGCTTCAAAATGCGCGCTTTCTCGTCGTTGTCATATCTGTACATTTTGCCATTGTCCTGTTTGCAGAAGTCTCCGGGATCATCAAACCCGATTTCGCGGTGCCATTCATCGTTTGTCAACTGTTTTTCACTGTCTGGGGCTTGCTCCTTTCGGCAAGCTTTATTTTTGGAGGTCTCAAAGTGATCTGTCGTGCAAGGAACGTTAAAAAACAACTGACAACGCTTAGAGAAAAGCACCAAGAGAGGTCCAGTGTGAAAGGATCTCAAAAGAAGATAGGAACCAATGCCTCTAAAGTGGCAAAAATAACTCTCGTTACCAGCGGCCTAGGTCTTGCTTGGAGCATCATCCAGCTATATTCACTTATAGATGTATATCATTTTTACCGCGATACTTTACGACCTCCGCCACCCTGGCTGTGGTGGTCGTTCCAAACCTGTTTTCGCTTGGTTGAGATCGCTATGGCCTGCACGATAGTTTATTGTGTTATGCAGCCCTCACATAGAAATGGCGCTAGTTCCGCCCGAAGGAAGTCTACAGCTCGTGAGAATATTCTCAGTGAAAAAGGTATTTCGGAGACAGTTTAAAACTGCGTCTTCCACAAGAGTGCTGGAACACTGAATCTGCCTTACACACACACACGCTTACACACACAAAGACAGGATGATGAAGTTTGTTTTGTCAAAGGTAGACAAAAACTCATCATGAGCCACTTATCATTAAATGACCACTGCATATCCACAATGTTATAAACTTGGAGTACCAAAGTAGATAGGCTCAGTAAGACATGTTAAACTTCATTTACGGACTTGGAAGTGTGATATTTAAACTGTTTTATAGCAGGTACTGCATATAATAGCTTATAATTAATGGTTCGCCCTGACCTTGGGAGCTAAGCGAACAAGGAAGTTTACTGTAGATGCAACTCAAGCTTTTCCACTGAGTCATTACAAACTGAACGGGTTATTTACCAAACATGTATATGTTCTTACGATCAGTTGAATAAAAATTTGACTTTAAACGTAACTCTGAAGAAACAATTCGCCCCCGAACCTTTTGAGGCTTTTTTTGAAAGATCCTAATGCCTCCTTCTAAATTTTCGCCATCTTCGTCCTATCAACAGTTTACCCTTTGTAGTGAAACGCAATAGCAAACTGCATTTCGTCATTGAAATGTATTGGGTAAAAATGTTAATCCTTATTGGCCTCTTAACGTAACCACGAGCGTTATATAGATGATGATCGAGCTATCCACGTGCGCGTTGACCCGGTATCTTTAGGTTAAAGTTGTTCAGTCTCAACCTTGGCCTAATGCATACCGAGTGCGTTATGTTTGGCAAGTATCTTCTCTCCGATATTATATATTTCTGGATCTGCAGTTTCTCCATTGAAAACAAAATGCGAAGTTGTGATTGTAGTCAACATATCTCCTCACGTGTCAAGTCATGTGTACTAGCTGTCTCCAGCTTCATCAAAATTGTCAAGCAATCATACCTCCGGCTCATGCATGCGGAAATCTTAAAAAGTTGCGCAATGAAGAGCATCTTCAAGGAGTTTCGATCGAAAAAGAGCCATAAGTGGCACGAAATGTCAATTTTCCAAACTGAGCTAAACAAACGAAATCTATAAAGGAAAGAATGTTCGGAGTTTAAGTACGGTTTAATTATTTTAGTTGTCATTGACATAATAATCATGCAAGCGTTCAGAGACTGTCCGACTTAATTGCAGATCGGTCGAGAAAACACTTTTTTAAGCTTTAATTTCTAAAGTTCCTTTCTGTTTTTATTATTTGTTAGTTTTATTTATTTCATTTTAGTTTTTGTCAAGCTAGTTTCCAGTGAGAAAAAACCGGCCGCATATGGGTTTTAAGGAAGTTATGACATGCCGCATAACCAATATATGTACACACCCCTGATTATGTGGTTAATAACAGCAAGCATGCATTTGCCCCCGGGAAAATGGAATTTTCTCGCCTGCACGCAAAAAGCTCGGTCATGCTTATGGCGTACGATGAGTGACACGGAAGCAATATCATACGTTTTCCTGGTGGCCCTGTTTTTGACACTTCAGTAGACTCAAGGGGGTTATGTCACAAAGATATTGTTGTTTTAAGTCAATTCTGTGCTGAAGTCATTACTTAATGTCGTTGCCCATTCAAGAAATGCTCCCGCGGAGTATCACAAACAATCATGTAGCACCGGACGATATTCATTGATTTTTTTGGTGATTTTTTCAGGCCGCAAAGCATTGACTCAACTTGAAAATGTTGGGTCAACTTTTTCAAGTTTCAATCCACTTCCCGATCCATGCCATCCGTTACAACAGACGTCAGGAAACAGTTTCCATGCCTAAATATGGACCATTACTTTATTTGGAATTCAATACACGTGAAAAAAGCCTGTGGTTAGGATGCCGGAATTTTACACTGTGTTTCCGGGTTCAGTTTGTCTTTTGGCTTTACTATCCTTGAAAAGCTGTTTGCATCAATCATTACATTCTAATTGCATACTATTACTGCTACCTAGCTGAAAACAAGTGCGAGACGCCGAAGACTTGTTTTCATCTTTCTCATGGAAAAGGAAATTCAATGATAAGAAAAATTGCAATCAAAACGGAAATCCAGAAACGGGTGGACTTCCCTGAAGTCTGCATTTCTGATACGCTTTGTGATTTTTCACGGGTTGATCTTTTCCCTTCTCTTCTTTTTGTTAATTTTAGTTCAGTTTTTTTTTTGATACCTTGTTTGTTTTGTATCACGTCTGCATTTTCCTTGGCTGTATTAAGTGTACACTTCTCTGTTCAGTATTATAAATAAATACTTTTTTAAAGAGACGTTAGAAGGAAGACGATTATTAATAAATCCTATTTATAACACCTGTTTACAGTGTTAGCGGATACGTGAAAGGGTCGTAAATCTTTCTCGCCCTTTTTTATAAGTGATACTTATGAAATGCTCCATATTGTGTCATTCTTAAAAGATTGCATCCATCACTGAAAGAACAATATTAAAGACAAAATTGATAAATTTATATGCAAAAAAAGGGTATGAAGAATTTATAGCGATCACTGTACGTTAACAAAAGACGCCCTCTCATTAAAGCCATGTAATTATAAAACTAGTGAGACACTTATCCGTTCAAATTTTCGTGTCTTTGTTCAACACTATGCACAGTTTTTTCCGAGGTTTTTTTGGAATGTCTGTTAAGTTCGCTATCTTATTTAAAATGGGAAATTCTAAAGCCCTATTCACAAGCACGAAACATTTTTAGCGTTACAACGCTTAACAAAATGAATTTCATTGAGTGAAAGAAAACTAAATCGGGTTCGAATTTGGACTTGTGCTTTCGTTTGTACCAAATTTTAGTGTACCAAATTTGTAGTTGACAAACATCATTACAGTAGCTATTATAAAGTGAACAAAATTTTAACCAGCTTTTAAACACGTTTAAGCTTTGGTGTGAATGAAGGGGGAGGGGGGGAGGAGGAGATTTTGCTTTCTACGCCAAAGAAGACTGACAACCACCCACTTTTTGAAACATGCAAATTGCCATCAAAGAATAAAGTAGTGTCATCAACCCCGACCTCATCACATTTCCTTTGCTAAATTGTAGTACTTTTAAGTACCACAATGGGAAATATTTTTAACAGCTCGAAGCTTATATAATGATATGATGAGTTGTAGTAGTCACATAGAATGAGTTATATTTTGATTATCTTTTGACAAAAATCTATGTTACACCGCTTCATAATCTGTTTTAAAAATGGGTTTTAAAAGTCCCATTTTACCTGATCTCCTTTTAAATCACCCTCCCTCTAAGCCAAAAGTCTATTTTATGCTTTTTCATTACTCTCTGTCTCTACAAAGTCCCTATAAAAATAATACCCCTCTTGTAAGAATCTATGCCTATAATTAGAAGATGCTGTCAAAACCAAATGGCATCTTTCATTATTTTTTCCTTTCGCAGTTTTGTTTAATTTAGCGTGGTTCCACTTTCACCGTAATAGCTGAATAATGGCGTTTTGAGTCTCAAGCCTCTTTCAATTCTCCGCAAAATCTTAACACAAAACTGACCTCCCCTGAAATCATTCTTCATCATGGTTCCTAAAAGATCTTTGTATTAATCGACTAAGCATGCACTTTATGGAAAAAAGATTTTCAAGCCTTATACTCCCTAAATAGATTTTTTTTTTTTTAAATAAACTAACGAAGTCATCTTTTTCCGGCTTAATTAAAGGAATTTTGTAAAAACATGTTTTCTAATCTATTCAGAGCTGATATTTTTATCAATTATTTTAATTCAAAGCTTAGTAAAGTAGTGCTTTTTCTCTATTTTTTCTTAACGCGCGGCAGTGGCGTTTCAGACCGTGTACAAACTGAAACTTAACTTACGTTAAATTCCAGCCTGAGATTCGATGTTTTCCGCAGCTCGAAAGGTAAGGTTTGTATTTACAAGGGCTTTGTGAGTTTTGGCAAACAGTCCCAAAATGCAAAATGGTTCATTATTCTTTGAAGAAGAAGTATCTAATGACCAAATCAGAGCTTTTGTCAAGTGCTAGAGGGTTTTTAAGCAACCACAACGTAGCTACAACGTAGACGGCAGCGTGGACGTCAAATACACAATAGGTCTTTAATCAAAGTATCAACTCTGCATCTTACCAGTTAAATGTTATGTATCTTTTTTGTTTCCAACCTTTGTTTTCCTGTTTCTTAACTAGACGTTTTCTTCATGTAGTTCGGACCCTAGCTGAGCTCACTAATTTGTTTCCATAGACTTGCCTCTCCGAATTTTTTTTTTGGAAAAATTATTTAAAAAAATAAACTAGGAGGAACTGTTAATGACCGTTCGTGCCGGTCGTTTACTCAGCTCAGCGAGAAACAGCAACAAAACGGATAAAAAAAGAAAATGAGTTGGAATTTCTTGATGGCTTCATCACTCTTTATTCATACCATGACATGATTGGCGGGCAAAAGGTGTTCGGTCGCACTTTGAAATAGCTGTCGCACTTTGCAAAAGATTAAGCTGTCGCACTTTGTAGTAAAACTTGTCACTCTTTGTAATAAACTTGAAATGGATGGTGGGAGGTCAAGTAAACCCAGTAATAAGACCGAGTAAGTATCATCATCATCAACAACAACAACAACAATGATAATAATAATAATTATTATTATTATTCCTCGAGCCCGAATGGACTCTGAGTCAATAGCCCATGGTTCTCGTTATATTTCTCGGTCAAAACCGAAAATCCCCTTCCAGTCCTTCCACGGTCTTTTTTTGCTCCGAAACCAAACGGAAACGCTTGCGCAGGCTATCCATGACTCCATTCCCTTCCCTCTGGCAGTGAAGTGGGTTTATACAATTGTACTGATATGGGGCTTTCTGTATATAATTATTTTGCAGTTAAAATTGGGAAAAGCAATCATCAAAGGATGATAGAGGGCGCCATCGTCAAAGGCTTGCAAAGTAATCGTTGATATATACTTCCCGAAAGTGAAACATTAATTAATCTACCCTAATTTGTAGCGATTGTGGACAATGTCGAATCCTTCGTTGAGTGGAACCACAAGCTCGGCCCAATCCACGACTCAACCAGCTGCAGCCGAGCCAGGTCCCGATTGGCCTGTAGCGAAAAAGCTTTGGGGAATCGCTTGGGAGTTCCATTGGGCTGGACTGGGGACTCTCTTCAGTATATTAGCAGTACGCTCTTTCCTGATTCTAGCGCAAGTTCGAACCAGGCAGGGATTTGGCCGAAAGCCCTTTTTTATAGCCATAAACTCTTTGCTTTTTACCCTAGGAACAACGAGAGCTTTGTTTTTATTTCTTGATCCTTACTCCTCGGCAGAAAATGGTATTGAAATCCCACCCTGGATATCGATGCTGGTTTTTGGCATAACCTATCCTTGTTTGACATCTTCCTTCTGTTTGATTCACTTGGCTTTTCTTGAAGTGGTAAAGATCCAGCTTGGATCTAAAAGGCTCCAAGATGTTCGCTTTTTAGGTGGTGTCATAACAGCTCACTTTGCTCTCGTGATAACTGCAGAAATGTCAGCTGCCTTAAGACCAAAGCTTGCACCATTACTGATTATATGCCAGTCATTCTTCATCCTATGGGGCTTTGTATTGTCGGCAAGCTTTATCTACAGTGGTTTAAAAGTAATTCGCTATGGTTACAGAGTACAGAAACAACTCAAGGCTATCGAACTTGGCGAAGGTGCTTCTCGAAGGCGAATGAAGAAATCTAACAAAGGAATATCTAAAGTTGCTAAAGTCACTCTGGCAACAAGTGTTTTGGGATTTGTTTGTTGTGGAATGCAGATATATTCAGTGTTCGGTGTTTATGGTTTGTATAGCAAATTTGTTAATCCGTCTCCTTGGCCATGGTGGGTATTTCAAACGTGTTTTCGGTTGGTTGAGTTCGTTATGGCTTGTACAATAGCCTACAGTGTGACGCAGTCTGCAGACTGAAGAGGGTAATGATTGCCGGTTGAGGGCCCATAATGTAACCGCTAGCGTTTTTTGGGGGGGATTTGGTTTCAGAACTGACCCTGAATCTTCAAAACTCCAAAGCAGTTTTCAATATTGAACTTTAGCTCCAGATGGTGAGCAGTCTCTTATTTTTTCTGAGCTACTTCAGTACGAACTGGACGGAGAAAAGGCGGACAGCAAGCACGGTCTACTCTTACTCCGGTCCCCTACTTCAAGAACTTGGGCTTGTGGGACAAACTTTCCATACGCTAAATTACATACCTTGCCGCATGTTCAAGGTGTACAACAATATCGTAGCACCTGAATACCTATGCTAAAAATATTTGAAAAGGACCACCTACGATACCAGGAGTTCGTCTTCCAGTTTGCAGTTTTAACTCTAGCCAAAGGAAAACCAATTATGACAAAAATTGTTTAGGTTATAGGGGGGCAATTATTAGGAAAAAATTAACTTATTCTTTACAATAATATTTAGTTGAGAAATTTTAATCACGGATATGAAATTTTAGTTTTACATGCTTTTTTCCCAGTATGTCATATATAGAGTGAACAGGATATCGATGTTTCTTAATTAAAATGCAAGGCTTTTATGTTAACCATCTTAAGATGAAGAAGTTCTACAAACACGAAGAAGTTCTCGCCCTTTTTTCAGGGGCCTAAGTTTTTTAATTCACTTGACAACAAGGTCATCAACTCTCAATCGCTCTCCTCTTTTAAGAAAAAACTGAAGATTAAATTATTGAGTAAGTATGAAAACAGTTTGTAAGTCTTTCCATCTTCGACTTTTCGCCTTCTTTTCTTCAATTGATGTGAAACAGCTCTAGCTCATAGTTCGAGGAGGCCTAACCTCTCATAAGCTCCTATAGTTTCTGTTAGGTCTCCTCGCCACCTATTTTTTTCTTCTTTTCCTATAGTTTTTGTAATTATTGTGTGGCAAATAAAATAAAATAAATAAATAAATGATAAACTACCGCCCACCGTTAGGTAGTGAAATCTCTATCTATATCTAGATTGATGAATTGTAGTATTGTCATAAAGAAGTTAAATTGTAAAATCCGCCGAAAGAAACCATTTTGCAAAGCTTTTAATAATCCGTTAAATCCCTATATTTCATCTACATTTACATCACCTTCCCTTTAAGCCAAATGTCTATTTTCCTGTGACGTCAGTTTGCTTTTAGGTTTATTTTCTATTAAGTCCCAGGCTATCAAAAACTAATGAGGTCTTTTGTTATTCTTTCGCTTTGGGTATATAGTGTTGTTTAATTTGACATGATTCCGCTGCGCCGTAATATCTGAACATGGTGTGAAATCTTAACGCAATTGCTATCTCAAAAGCGTCAATTCCCCTATTCATTGTTTCTCATCATTTTGTGGTATAAAATAGACAAACTATTCGACTACGTTAAGTGCGCTTGATGGAACACAAGATTTAAAAGTCCTGTCATTCCCTAAATTGTTTTTTCTTTCCTTAATATTTAGCTGCCTTTTCAGTTCTGCGACTAAGCTAAAGGCAGGATTTCGTTTAAAAATATTGTTAAATTATTCAGAGCTGGTAATTTTGTCAGTTAATTGAATTTAATGTTTAGAGCCCTTTTCTCTACTTTCCTCTAAAATTTTGGCCATTAAAAAGGTCGTGTAACTAGAACTTTAAATTATTTAGTTACATTTTAATCTGAGGATGATTTGTGCCGCTCTTAGGAAAAACCACTTCAAGGATCGTGTTTACAAGTGTCTTTTTTGACCAACAGAGCCGCTAAATGTAAAACAATTTATTTTTCCTTGAAATAGAAGTGTCTAATGACCAAATCAAACCCATTGTCAAATACTAACGACTTCCAACGAACGTAACCGGGAAAACTCGAGCGAAAACTCACGTTATGCGTGGAGTTGTAGAGCTAAGCCAAAACATTCAGGTCAGGGTTGTTGCCAAATCTAAGTTGTAATCTGATTTCCAACATGTGTTTTCCTGTTTCTAATTAGACGCTTTCTTCACGCAATTCGAACTCTAGCTGAGTCCATCAATTGAATTCCGCAGACTTGTCTCAGCAAACTTTGTGGGAAAAATAAAAATGTAGGCTGTGGATAAGAACTGTTCCTTTACTGATAAGGTGTGTTGGTCAATTATTTGGCTTAGCAGGAAACAGCAGGAAAATGAAATTAAAAATTAGTGGGACTTTTCAGAGATGGCAGGCTTCATGGTCTGCGAAAAGTTCTTAAATTCTACTATCAAAATATTTGCATATAAAAAGAGACGGCGGCAAACATGTTTTGTAATTACAATTTTGTTCTCCGGTGATTGTTCTGACTGTGTAATTTGTTTTCTTACTCTGAAATTATTATAAATTGCCGTTTTGCATGAAAATAAGCAAAATGTGATATTACCATGCACGAAAACTATTTCCCTCGCGTATTCATTTTGTTCTAATAGTTAATGAGACCACTATCACTTCAAATTTCATTGAAAGGTAACGAGGTCAGTAATAGTTAGGCGGATGGCTTGATCTCAAATGTATCTGACACGAAGTCTTCCTATCTCTCGAGGATTTTATTTAGATTGAAATTTGTAAAAAAAAAAAGCTAAGCGGCCTCTTATTGCTATCATTTATCAAAAAACACGGAATTTCGGCATATTCGTACCGTAACGATCCCTTTTAATTATTAAATTGTGTGCTCGAGAGGAGGAAAGTGTCAGAGGAGGTTTGCCTACCTGGCGGTGAAAGAAACATGCTATTCGTTTCAAAGTTGATGTTGAAGGATCGGTCAAGTTTTGAGGTTGCCTTTCATCTCCCCCAGATTTTGGTGTTGCAGTGTTTTGGGTTCTGTTACAAGTTCTGAGTATTAAACAGACGGTCGGCCAGTCAAAGGAGCGATATTTGTAAGTTTAAACAGCATTTATTCATCCGCTTACTTTAATGTTCTTGTTGTGTACATGTCGAGTATTTCATACTAATTGTGTATTTTATACTATGATGTTTTGGAAGTTTGGCAGGGGCGTATTGATTTGAAAGTCTTCCTTTGTCTTTCTATAAACTTTTTTTTTAGTTAAATTTGGGCAAAACAACCACCAGAGGAAATCACCTGGTTTTGATCGCCGAAGCCTATAAAAAGCGCCATCCTCAAAGGCAAAGTGACAAAGGGACACGTTATTGACTGAGTTAAAGTCTGCTTAAGATTTTTGGCATCTACATTCATTTGACTGGGACAATGTCAAAACCTCCATTGAGTAGGGCCACAAACTCGGCCCAATCTACGACTCCACCAGCTGCCGCCGAGCCAGGTCCCGATTGGCCTGTAGCGAAAAAGCTTTGGGGAATCGCTTGGGAGTTCCATTGGGCTGGACTGGGGACTCTCTTCAGTATATTAGCAGTACGCTCTTTCCTCGTTCTAGCGCAAGTTCGAACCAGACAGGGATTTGGCCGAAAGCCCTTGTTTATAGCCATAAACTCTTTGCTTTTTACTTTAGGTGCAACGAGAGCCTTGTTTTTATTTCTTGACCCTTACTCCTCAGCAGAAAATGGGATTAAAATCCCACCCTGGATATCAACATTGGTTTTTGGCATAACCTATCCCTGTTTGACATCTTCGTTCTGTTTTATTCACTTGGCTTTTATTGAAGTGGCAAAGATCCAGCTTGGATCTAAAAGGCTCCAAGATGTTCGCTTTTTAGGTGGTATCATTGGAATTCACTTTGCCATCGTAATAACTGCAGAAACAACAACTGCCCTCAAACCCGATTTTGCATCGTTGCTGATCATATGCCAATCATTCTTCATCCTCTGGGGCCTTATACTGTCTGCGAGCTTTATCTACAGTGGTTTGAAAGTCATCAATCAAGCTTCGAGAGTACAAAAACAAATTGAGAGCATCGAACTTGAAAATAGCACAATCAGAAGAACATCTAAAAGACCAAGGAAAACATCAAAAGTTGCCAAAGTAACTCTTGTAACGAGTGTTTTGGGATTTGTTTGTTGTGGACTGCAGATTTATTCAATGTTCGGTGTTTATGGATTGTATAGTAAAGTTGTTAATCCGTCTCCCTGGCCATGGTGGGTGTTTCAAACGTGTTTTCGGTTGGTTGAATTCGTTATGGCTTGTACACTAGCCTACAGTGTGACGCAACCTGTGAAACCCGGAAACATGGCCAAAAACTGAGAATATAAACTGGTATAAAGTGACCAAACGTGAACTTTGGAGGGTGCTTTAATTTTCACGTTCTTAATTATTTCACTAAGGTGAAATGGATCTTTCAGCTGGCTCCAAAACATCAAACTGTGATAACTTTTATTACATGTATTCTCAGTTCTACCCCATAACTACAATTTAAGAGTCGTTGTACAAAGCTTTTTGTCTCAGCACCAAAAAGTTATGTTACAAACCAAGCAAGAACTTGTATAAATTAATCACTTTTTTTTACCTTTTCTTGGCTCTTGACCTTAATGCTGTATCTAAATATAAAAGAGAGTATCTCCAATAACGCTTGACATCTGACTGTATGCTGCTCAATGTAGTAACTGCTATCATCGAGCCCGTCCGTAACAAGGTGTAGATTTACTTCCCGAAAATTTTCATAGGGCATCGCGCAACATGGGCTAATTTTAGCAAGTAAAAATGTACAATACCTGAGTGCACCAAGAGTGAAACCATTGTATTTAGAAACCTGGGAGTCTGCGCGCATGTTGGACCAAACCCCAATGAGCTCTCACACTGCCCAGCAAACTTGTTATTGAAGAGCAGGGCATGAATATTAAGCGTGAATTGTTATCTTGTGCGAAAAAAAAAGCATCTTAAAGTTTAAAACTGATCACAGTAAATGGTTATAATGAAGGAAATTTCTTATTTCAAACCACAATTATGACGAGTGAGAGGGCTAATATGCAGTAGACAAACAGATACAGCAGTGGACATGACAAAATTACCTGAGATAACACCAAGATGCTTAAGTAGTCAGGCACAACATGTGTATACAATTCCTAGTATATTCACGACTAAGAGACGAGAATGGGTGTGCAGCTCGAACTGTGGAGCCTGAGTGTTTTTAAGTCCAAATAACATACAAAGTTCAACATCATAACTAAAGAGTGGTATACAAATATTCCTTAAATAAAGTCACTCAGGCTAAACTATCCCGTGCGTCGCCTGATACGAAAACCCAAAAACCCAATGGGAAAAAATTGGGAACGTATTCCCCAACCGATGCAATCGCACAACCTCTGGGGGCTAAAGGTAAAAAATCAATAGATAGATGAATAAAGTAAGATATAAAAATAAAAGTTGATATGTCGAGAGCTGAGATGAATACATTACAACTGTCAAAACCTTATATACCTAATAACAATAGAGTCAATTAACGTCATAGCGGCTCACGGGCGTTCATACCAATAGGAACGTATTTACATTCTCTGTCACTGCCACTACGTTTAGCTCCGCCGAATGTAAATACATTTTATGTACACGGCACAAAACATATCATCATATTAAAGTGGTGTGAAGAATTTGAGAAGAAGTTCAGTATTTAGCATGCCATGCGCAGATGAATTCAGCGGATCCCATAAAGCTATACAACAAGGACATTGTTTATTCACTTATTGTTTGGTTTAATATGTCGCCGTCTCTTACCTTAGCCGTCCTTTTTCAGTCCGCATATTTTAACTCAGTGTTTGAGGTAGAGTCCGCTGGGCTCAAGCGCATGAAAGTCATAGTCTCTGGATCTTCTTTGTAGTTTTCTATTCTTTTTTTGTCACGTTCTTTTTACAGATTCATTCAAAACCCCACGAAATCGCACCATACAACAGAAAACAAACAAATGTGAACAAGCAATATTTAGTCTTGCTTTGTATACCCAGTATATATAAACACTAATATTGTCAAACGAACGATTTACCACATCCAGAACCGATAAAGCACGTTTCAGACGAAGGTGGTCGACCAATTTGTTGATCCCTACTCGTCTGGGGAAGATGGTGTTCTGAATACCTAGGTGGCTTTCAAGACTTGTTTACGGTATAGCCTTTCCTTCTTTGACGTCTTCGTTTTGTTTGATCCATCTGGCTTTCCTGGACGTCACCAAGATTAAACTAGGGTCTAAAAAGCTTTAAAGTGCACGCTTTGTTGGTGGTGTTATACTCTCAAGTTCGCTCTGGAAATAATGGCGGCAGTTGCAAGTGGCCTAAAAATAGGAGCACCCAACGAGAATATATAGTTCGAGACCACTTAAACATAGCATTGTTAAACGTATTTTAGTATTTAAACGGTAGTCATAGGCATATTTTCATCCCCTAAAAATTTCTCATCTGCTCGGATTTCCTAGCTGAAAGTCTAGTGATTGAAAATTATAGGGACCAAAACTTACCTTTTCAACAATTTCAGCCGGAAAAAATGCTCCCGAAAATCGTAGGTGACCATTTTAGGGTAAAAATCCGTTAAAAATGGGTAGTTATACCATTTTTTAGATGTTCGAAAATCCTAGGAGAGGCAGACAAGCAAGAAATTTTGCAAAAAATGTTCAGAAAATTTTAGATCTCAAATCGTCTTCCGGAACAGATATTTTCCGAAAATTGCCGTTGGGTGCCCCTGCTTAAACCAATTCTAGCGCCGTCCCAGATCTTTTCTCAGGCTTTCTTCATTATCTGGGGGTCTCTATTGTCAGCGAGTTTCATTTACAGTGGATTGAAACTCATTCATCGCGATGGGAATGTACAGAAGCAACTGGAGGATATCGAAATCAGACAAAGTACTTCAAGGACGGACCATGGGACGGCGAGGCAGAGAAAGAACCTCGAAAGTGGCAAAAATTACGATTGCAACAAGTATTCTGGGTTTTTGTTGCTGTAGACTCCAGCGTTATTTAATGTTCGGCGTTTACAGTTTCTATAGTCATGTATAGTAAAGTTAAAGCTCCGTCTCCTTGACCATGGTGGTTTTTCCATACACTCAGGTTTTCGATTAATTGGTTGAATTCTGTATGGCCTGTACAATAGCCTACAGCGTGACGCAAAAGCCTCGAAACATGAACAACGAGGGACATACATAGACGCTGTCAGACTGTTACTGTCAGTTCATTGAAAGGAGAAGTTGACTCACGTTCAGCTAGGCTATAATTAAACTGGTCGGGTTGTAATTTTATGTGAATTAGATGGTTCTCTCTTTCATTATAAAGCACCGAAATTTAATATTTAAAAACCCAACCGAAAGCAAGACCGTCTTGCCTTTAGGCTTAAGGGGTTCACGACACTTAAATTCAGGTGAATTTATCACTGCGGAAACAAATCCAAAAGCACCCGATAGCAGAGATGATTTTTGCTATGACGTTAAAAAATGCATTTTCTAATTAGCGTCTCTAAATTACAAGTCGCAAGCAAAGTAATCTCTTTAAGCAAACGCCCTGACCTTGACACTTAAGCTGACAACGAATTGAAGTATACAGTCCCTAAAATCAAAATGCACGGTCCAAAATATTGGAAGCAACGTTAAGGTTTTTCCACTATATGAGTGGAGATCTGAACGGCAACCAAGGGCTATTTTCCAAATATATGTATGTATTCTTGCAGTCATTTACCAGTCTTAAATTATTATAAAGAATAACTGACAATTATTAAAGAAACTCTGACAAAACCGGGCCTTTTGACAAAAGGTCGTAATAAATGCACCCTCCTTGCCATCGTCGTGCAAATATCTTCCAGTCTCTTTCTCTCCGATATATTTAGGCTAAATATTTTGTTTCTCCATTGAAAACAAAAAGTTCAGTTGCGATTATATTCAACATACTACTCGGCTCACGTGTCAAGTCATGTGTAATCTAACTGCAGCAATTTTGCCAGCCAGCCGTAACCAGTAACCTCCGGTCCATGTACAGTGCGGAAGTCTAAACTGTAGCTGCTGAGTGGAGCTGGAGAATTTTTATGATCATGTAGGTTTGATCCAACATGAAATGTGAATTTTCCAATTCAAACAAGTTCATATTTATAAACGACGGCGCAATATTCAGTTTTTTAATTTTAGTTGAAGTTGTCCTCTTGACTGATATAGTTAAGTATCGCCCGTCTCTGTCACAGACCGCTCAGGAAAACACATTTTTAAGTAATGGTCCAGCTAAAGAAGCAGGCAGAAAAACAATAGCCCGCGGCAATAGCGTCAGTTATTTTTCAGGCGCTAATTTCTCTAATCAAATTAAATCTGAATGCTCTGATTGGTCAATACAGCGAAAAGCGCGAAATTTGAATTTTAAAGTTGAATTGAGATAGCTTAAGACTCATTCGAACAACTTTTTATTTCGTCTATTGCTTTGTTATGTTGAAAAATACAACATATCTAAAATTTAAAAGATTTCTATGCGCCAAACCCGAGGAAGTTAAACTGATATGAAATTACACGAAGATGAGCACAGTGTTACATCAATCAGCGACCTTGGGAACAACATTTACGTCGGCTCTCACAAAAGAAATGTCAAAACCGTGATCGTAAACAGCAGCAATTCACTCTCACGTGGCGAATCTGGCGAACGCGCCAATGTCGCGCGTTCATATTCGGCCACCATACAGAACAACAACAAGTACACAAATTCAAACCGGATGTTACTAAAACGGGGAACGGGGAGCGGGGAGCGGGGAGCGGGGAGCGGGGAGCGGGGAACGGAAGTCTGGGAACGAGTTGTCAGCGGAAACCTCCACAAAAATCCAAAATGGCGGTCCAAAAAACGAGAGAGAGAAAGAAGAAGACAAAGAAAGGAATTCGTGCCTTGGTTGAAATCAGGTGGGGACGAAATTGCAAATCAGACTCACATTTTACGTTTACGTTTTGAGCAGGTGGTATGTTTTTTCGATACTCAACCTGTTTCATTTACAATATGATAAGGTCTTAGGTCTTAGTTTTCGAGACACCTGGCACACTCACATTACTCCCGATTACTCCGTTTACTTTAGACCGTCGCTTAATCCTGCCTGTTTGTCCCCCTGAATGTTCTTTTTCCCACTCAGACAAACTCTTGGAGAGTAAAGGTTTTATCCAAGCCCATTATATGCCCTGTTTTGAGAATGCTTGGTAAATAACTCGCAGGCATTGTAATGAGAAATAAACGTGGAATTTATTAATGCATGTACATATAGTGTTCTCGCGTTCTGTGCTTGAGTCAAACTTTGTACAGCTATTAGTATTTA